TGTGCTACAAGAACTGATACAGCGTCTCCGTAAACTTCGCAAATTTCATTGGTTGCTTGCGGGGCATTTTCCCATTTTTATACAAAAATTTTTAGTAAAGCGAATTTCTTCATTATTTTCACTCAGTTTTGAACAGCTGTAATTTTTTTTTCAACTTCCCCGAATAAGTCTTTTGGTTAAATGAAGCTTAAAGCTCACCTTTCCAACACTATATGGCATGACACAATGTGATTGGTAGCACTGAAGTATACCTTCTCTAAYGACATTTAGTGACAAAATACGAAAGGCTTTTTTCAACTGACCAATATATAACCATCTATGTTKAGACTTATATAAAATCAGACTTTTTTTTTGAGATAAGATTGGTCCCAAAAAATCATGTTACTAGTTTTAAAGAGTTAGTTGAAAAATATTTTCTATGAGGCTCCAGTCAGCCAAGCTTTTGTGTAGAGCTAAAATATTTTAATTTTTCAAACTTTATTTATTGTCCATAACTGTCACTTGTTTCATTAAATCGGAAGAAAGTGTCATTGAAATGTCTAAAATATTAGCTTGAATGCCATAGAACCCTACACCTAGACAAGTATAAAAAGCACAGGAAATCACAGCAAAATACAGTATCTGTAGATTTTCAACACCCGCCAGGCAACGAGTCCTAAAATACTTTCGAGAATACCTCCTAAAGTGAAAATGAAAATGTGTGCTTCCAAAATATTGATCCTTTCGGTTTTTCTAATAATGCCGCTTTGTTTCAAATGTGAGAATTCGTTGGTGGTGAAGAAGGCAAATACGAGTATCTGTTACTCGCATTTTAAACGAAAAATCGTAGCCGTGCAAGACGCGCTAGATCGTGCATTTAGAAGTTGCAGTGATTACGACTTGTTTTGTGAATATATCGCGAATAAAGGATTTTTACTACGAAAGACAAAAATCGCAAGAGAATTCGAGTATTGTAAAAGGGCAAAATGTGATAAAAATTTTAGAAGACTAGGCGAACAAACTGTGAAAAACCGACTAAAGCGGGAGTATTGTAAGAAATTTATGGCGGTTGAAAAAACACATAATGCTCGAAAACGTAGAAGTGCTAYTTACAGCTCGGAATATTCCGAGGAAAGTGATTTGTGGTCAATTTCAGAAGAAGACAGTGGGACAATGAGCGATTCGGAGTCGCTTGATACAAGTTACAGTGATTCTTCGCTCTATAGCCTTTCAAGTGCTGAATCAAGCGAATCCGATAGTGAAACATCATCCAGCAGCGAATTAGAGGCTTCTAGTGATTTTAAAGTTGACGACTCTTCAATATCTGAAAGCTTTGAGTCGTCAGAGTCTAACACTTCGGAATTTTTAGAGTCTGAAAGCGACGAAATTTCCATGTCTAAGACTGATGAATCATCAGATCCTGAATATTGGAAATTTTCGGATTTCGAAAGCGACGAAAGCTCCCAGCAATCAACTGATGAATTTTCGGAATCTGAATCTGATATTTCGAATTCCGAAACCGACGAAACTTCACAGTACGAGGGCGACGAATCTTCTGAGTCTGAATCAGAAACTTCGACATCTATAGAATCAGAAAATGATGAAACTTCAGACTGTAAATGTGAAACGTCTTCAGAATCAGAAACTGAAGAGTCGCACGAGTTTCCATCTCCATCAAAAACTGACGAATCAAGCTCTACCAGAAAAAAATTTACTACAATCACGCCACAATCTTGGAAAACAAAGCCAATAAATATCCCCAACACTTTTCCCGGAGTAACTTCTTCAACAAAAATTTCTGACACAATTCATTTGTCAAAAACAACCAATTCCATTGCAACCACTTCAAGCTCCTCGAAAACCGAGTCAACAAGTATTCCCACCACCTCTTGCGGGGAAACTCCATCAACATCTCATATAACTGATTCCTCATTCACCACCGATTCCACCGCTACCACTTCAACATCCGAGTCAGCAGGTATTCCCACCACTTCTTCCGAAGAAACTGCACCAACATCTCATATAACTGATGCCTCATCCACAACCGATTTCATCGCAACAACTTCAACATCCATAACAACCGATCCAGCAAGGATTTCCACCACTTCTTTAGGAGAAAGTAGATCAACAGCTCCCTTAACTGATTCTTCACCCACAACTGATGTTATCGGAACCACAGAAACTTTCATGAAAACCGAACCAGCAGTTATTTCCACCACTTCTTCAGGAGAAACTCCATCAACAG